AAAAAAAACAAAAAGAATTTAATTAGGAGAATTCTATTTTACAATGTAAAGCACTGTTTTAATAATAAACTTAGAAATCTTACGCGAGTATTTCTCTCGTTAGGATAAGTTGTTTTTGGTACTCTCTAACTCATATATCCAAAAAATATAATTATATTTGTATATTTACCTGTCTGTTTGTTGTTGCATCATTCCTGATAATGATGTTAATTCAGTTGTTAATAAATCAGCTAATAATTTTAAATAATCACTTGTTGGTTGTTGATCATCAATTTGAATATGATCCATTTTTAAAAGATTTCTACATTGATTTATTTGTCTATTAGCATGATTAATTTGTATTTGTAATTGTATACATTCATAATAAATATTTTCAATAAAATTTTTTTCAATATTATTCGTTGATGATAATAAATTAAATAATTTTTGTCGACATAATGCATAATTTGATATTAATGTTTCATATATACCTTCAATTGATTTTAATTTTTTTTCATATTTTTCATTATTATTATTATTATTATTATTATTATTCATATTATCATTATCATCATTTAATATATATGGATAACCAAAAAAATATCCAACTGGTAAACGTATTGATGATACAGATATATTTGATTGTCCAATTAATGTAATACGTATATAACGTGCTATAATAGGTGGTTGTAAATCATGTAAAAAAAATGGTTGATTTGATATATGTGTTGAAGAAAATAAACGTTGACAATCAATATGTTCGCCATATGACCAAAAATCTAAACTTAATGATGCTAATTCATGACATGATGGTATTAATATATCAGTTAATGTAACTTGTTGTCCAAAATCTAAAACAAAATAACTTCTACCACCACCTGATAAACGATCAATTATAAATTGATATAATGGTAAATATTGTCCATGATGAATATTATTTGATACTTGTGTTAATATATCATCAATTGTTATTATTTGTTGTTGTTGTTGTTGTTGTTGTTGTTGTTGTTCAAGATTTTCATCATCAATATGATTTTTATTATTTGTTAATATACGATTTGTTGATAATATTTGTTGATTTTGTGTTGTTAATGTTGATTTTGATGTATGTAAAAGATCAGTAAATAAATTTGAATTTTTTTTTAATATTGATGTTTGTGTTGTAGCTGCTTTATTTTTTTTTGCAATTAATTTTAATTTTTCTTTTTGTAAACTTTGTTTATCTTTAAATTTTGATGCTAAATGTGGTAACCATGGTGATGTACTAATTAAATTATTATTATTTATTTGATTATCAATTGTTGTTGTTGATATTGGAAATGATGAAGCAATTGTTGATGTTGTATCATTTGTTGTTCCTGTTGAATTTATTGTTGTTGGTAACATATAAAGTGTATCATGATATGTATTTATATTTGGTGTTGGAAATGAAAATGGAAATGTATTTGTTGAATGAAATGTTGATATTGATGGTGGAAGTGGTGGTGGTGGTATTGAATTTGATGTTGTTGGATTATAAAGATGATGTGAATTAGTTGTAAGTGTAACATTAGGTGGTGGTGCATTTGTTGCTTCATATGTACGTAATGTTAATAAATGTGTCATATCAACACATTCAAGACGTGTACCATCACTTGATGAATGCATTGTATAATTTAATGGTGTTATTTCAAATAGATCTGGTATTGGTTTTAAATAAACATTTGATGATGAAAGTGAATTTGGTAAAAGTTTTGATAATGCATATTGAATATTTGTTGATGAATATAATGTATCAGGATCACATGGTATTATTGGTAAACCAGTTGTACCATAACGTGAATAAATACGTGGATCATAACAATTATCATTTATACCAATTGGACGTGATGTTTGAGAATTATTTGTTGAATTTGATGATGTTGATGATGATGAGGAATTTAAATTACGTTGACGAAGACTACATTCAATTAATGTTGAAAGATCAACATCAAATAAATGAGCATCAAATGGATCAGCATAAAATCCAAATCTTAAGAAATAAAAATAAAATAGAACAATAATTACAATTCCATGTGATATATAGAGCTCATCGGATCCGGGTTCGAGTTCAAAAAATTTTACTAGTCGGACGCGAATGCAACAAATTTTAGTCGATCAGGTCCGAAAATTCTTGGACCCAATAGGTTCTAGTCGCATAGGCGGCGGAATACTTTGAGCCTAGAATAAGCATAGAGATCTTTATAAGATCTTCATCGGAAAGTTAAGAATAGGGAAAAGGAGAACGAATCTTTTTATGCTGTTCAAATGAAATACAGTTAGTGCTTCTTATTTCTAACTCATATTTTGAACTGTATAGAGTTGGTACAATTCAGAAAAATGTCTTAACTTGTGTAAAAAGACGTGCACTTAAAAAAACATGCTAATATTTGTTTTTCTCTGATTTCGACTGGCAAAAACAGAGTTTTCGATGTACTTTACTAAAAAACAGAATAATGATGAACCAAAACAATGTTCAAAAGAAAAAAGAAAACTTTCGACAGATTTTAGTTTAGCTAACACAAGTTTCCGGTATTGTCCTATTTCACTTGTTTCAAAGAAGTACTACATGAAGTCATTAATAATGTAGGACCTAACATTTAGTCATACAGAATTGAATGTTTCCTAAGTCTGCTTCAGTACGAAAACGTTACTAATTGTTGCTAGCGACAGTGAAAAAGTTTGACGCGTGTATACGAGTTTCGATACACTGTATAAATCTGTCAAACTGATGGAATGAGAAACAAATGTTTGAACTTATCTAAGCTTCGTGACTTCACTGCCTATGCCATGTCATACGTTTGTTCGTGCCACCATCGGTAGCTCTTATGACTTTTGGATTCCAGCTATAAACGATTGCAGAGAATGTTTTCTATCCATATGCGAATTAATCGAGAAGAATATATTTTACTAAGAAAACTTTTTGCAGCACCATCTCAACGGGCGACTCATAAATAATGGTGCAATTTGTATTTTGTGTTTTTTTGTTTTGACTAGCTTTCTTCAAAATTCCATTAGAACGTTTAATCTAAGCTTCTCATTTAAAAAAGTGATTAAATATAAATTTTTCATTGCTCGTTAATATTAATATATAAATATATTTACTTATTTCTTAATAATTGTCTTTGTATAGTATCAGTTTTTTGAATAATATCTGCTAATTGTAATAACCATTGTAAAAGTTTTGTACCAATTTGATAGTGATATTCATTAGTCCATTGTCCAATAATAATAAAAAACCATTTTAATGCTGCTGATGATTTAAATCCAAGTAAATATTGATTATTCATTTGAAATAAATTTAAAAAATTTTCAATAAATTTTTCTATATCATTATCATTTTTAATAATCATTAATATTAATGTTGCCATACGTTTAGCTATTGTTCTTGATGCATTTATAAATGTATGTTGTAAAAATGTTTCATTTAATAATAAATATTTAATTTGATTTATTATTTTATTATTATTTGTTGTATAAATAATTGATATTAATAAATTTAATGAAAATAAAATTTTTTTTTCATTTTTTGTTGTTAATATAGTTGTTGTTAAACAATTTATTGTTGAATAATCATATAAACGTAATAAACGTATTTGATGTTTTGTTGAACGTAATGTTATTGATATTGTTTCAATAGGAAATAAATTTTGTTGTATTATTGTTGTTTGATTTGATGATGATGAATATTTTGATTCAAGTACAAGACGAAAATGTTTTGATTTATATGTTAATAAATCATATGAACATAATTGTATAAGACCTTGATCATGTATAGGTGATTCTAAATAATCAATTAATGAATATGGACCAGCAAGTATATCATTATTAGAAAAATTTATTTGAGAATTTAATTGATTAAATTCAATTTTTTGATCAACATCATTTTGCTCATTTGAATAACGATATAAAGTAACAAATAAATTTTTTTTATGTAAATGTTGTCGATTTAATGTATAACGAAATTCAATTGTATGTAATATACATGTTGTTGCTGTTTGTAAATCAAATATATGTATTGATGGTATTATTTGTTGATTATTTGATTGTTGTTGATGTATTTGAGGTTGTTGTAAACGCCATGTATGACGATCAACATTTGTTTTTGTTGTATCAAGTGTATCAATCCAATAGGATGAATTTACATGAGCAAAAAAATATGTTACTGGTGATGAATCAAATGATGTAAATGATAGAAGTGAACGAAGTGTTGATATTGAATAGGAATTTGAATTTTGATCATCAGTAGAAGATTTTAATTGAGAAGGATGTATAGAAGATGTGCTTGTTCTTTCATCGGATTGTACATGAGTAAAATAAGATGGAAATAGATCACGAATATTGAACTAAAGAAAAATAAAAGTAACAAGCTAAATTTTTTATTTTAGTATTCATGATTATTCTTCGGTATAAGTTCATTTATTTAATAGTTAGATAGTTCTATTCGGGTTTATGTGGATCGTGTAGACTAAAGTGACTTTAGAATATCTTAGAAAGAATATGAATTCTTAGCTTATTGATGCGTAAATTCTACAAATTTTTCAGTAGTTTTTATACGAATATCGTAGTCGTCCTCAGGAACATCAGGAGAGCTAATTTCTGAATTTCGGCTTGAAACTTTGTTGAGAGAGAGAGTCGGGTTCTCGATTAGGGGGCTTTCCCTTCTTCCAAAGTTCTTAAGACTTTCTGCCAATTTTTTTCTAACTCCATGGGAACTTTGGACTGAAACTAAATCTTGAGAGAACATTTGCCTTTCTCTGAGAGAAAGTAGAATAAAGATCAGCAGACAATGTCGTTAAAAGGTGAACGGGATTAGAACAGGCTCCTAGAGAGGAATGGTCTGGTGGTAGATCGTCTGTTGTGGGAGGAGCCGGTTCATCATGGGCTTCAGTCTACACGATCGCCATTTCTAGTACTCCAAGTATGAAAGCACTTTCCGAGCAAATTTTCGAACTTTCTTCTGTAAAAACTACTATAAAAGTAGAATATGTCAATGGTGAGAAGTTAAAGACTTAAATTGTTTTTCAGGATATGCATAGTTCATTTGGTTCTAGATAATGCACGTAGTCTCGATTCAAAAGCGAATTACAGTTGGGAATTTCCCTAGGAAGTACACAAGAATGAAGCTATGATCTCCATAGATCTCATAACTAGAGATCTACACGAAACTTTCTAATCATCAGTTGTAGAATTGTATATTTTGCTAAGAAAAGAAAGATTTAGTTACCATATTTTTAAGAGAAATTTTTTTCTCTATAAATTAAGACTGTTTTTCCAAAAATTATATAGTTATTCGTATCAAAGTTACAACAGAACTAGAAAGTCTCATGCACATATCTAGATTTGCTGTATGTCAAAATCAATATTAAAGAATTTTTTGATGTAAATAAAATCCATAGATTGAAATTAAATTTTCACAAACCTTTTTAACCCCATCATCAGTAATCCATGCATAAATTGTATCTGTACCTCTAACATGAACACATTTTTCAACATTTCCAATTAATTGTCTATCTGCTAGTATACCAATATTATTTTCTTCTTGATTATTATCTAAAGATATTGTACGATAAACATCATAAAATATTAAATGTCCAGATTTAAAACAAATTAAAAAACATTTTCGTTTTAATATTTTATTTGAATATTGTTCTTTCTTTTGATATTCATCATTAAAATCATTATTATCATCACATTCAATTTCTAAATTATCATCTTTATCACTTATTATTGATTGTTCATCATTATTTATTAAACCATCATCATCATCATCATCTAATATAATTGGATTTATTGAATCAATATCAATATCATTTATTAATGATTGATAAATACAATGATAAAAAAGTATTTTTAATGTTAATGTTATTTGATCATATTCAATACAATAACTATGTATACAATCAGTTGTATTTATTAATAAAATCATTTTTGTTTTAGTTAATTGATATAGAAATGCTTGTTTAGGTAGATATTTAAAATTTGAAAATTCAATTAAATAATCATATTTATTATTTATTTTAATTTGTTCATTTATTATTGTTGTTGTTGTTGTTGTTGTTTCAATTGATTCATCATTTTGTGTATTATTTGTTATTGTTGATGTACGTGATGGATTTAAATTTTCATATTGATTTATTGTTGTTGTTGCTATTAATATACATTTATTTGTTTCAATTAATTGTAAAAAACAAAAAATTATATAATTATCATTATCATTTGTTATTGTTAATGGATACATTGTTAATGCAAGTGGATTTAATTTAAAATTAAAATAACGTTTTGATGTTAAATGATCAAAATGTTGTATAAATATTGTTTCATTATTATTATTATTATTATTATCTGAAGAATAATTTTCTTCAGAATAATTTTCTGTTGTTAATTGTTCAATAAGATTTTTTAATGATATTATTGTTTTTATATGTATAACATTTGTTGTATCAACTAAACGTATTATCCAATCAGAATTTATAAATAATAATATATGTTCATTTAATATTAATTCATTTGATTTAATTAACCATTTTTGTTGTTGTTGATTTGAAAAAATTTTTTTTCCAGGTTGAATTGAACATGTTGTACGTAATGGAACATTTTCAGTAAAATCACCTTTTATAAATGGACAATGAGGAGAATGACGTCCATGTTCTGTCCATGGAGAATCAGATGGTTCCCAACAAACAAGTGTTACAGTACAAGCAAAACATAATGCACGATCATCATTATCTTTTAATGGTGAATAATAAAAACCAGCTTTAGCCATACTTTCCTATTTTAAAAAAGAAACAACAAATATTTAATTGATTTTTAATTTTAAAATAATCAAGCAAATTATTTATGTTCAATAATATGATTTAATTCTTACTAAAACTTAGATGCCAATTAAATATAAATAGGTGTGTAACGTGTCTCGAGTAGCTCAGATTTAGTTTGAGTTTTTGCTCCAAAAAAAATAATCTTATATGTTGCTTTTATTCAAATTTCTTTTAGGACTATTTCGGTACGTAGGTGACAGACCGAGCCCAAACAGTTCTATCTCGATGTAAAATTGAAAATATTTGTTCCTAATAAATTTTTTTTTAAATATTACATGTAAAGTAATGAGTTTTGTTGAATTACAATGAAATTAATATAAATATGAATGTGAAAATTTTTCTTGAGATCAATAGCAATAATCTGACAGTTCTTTTTTGCTTTATGAATCAAAAAGCTTCATCTTCCTAGATCTGTTTACACAGATCAATAGTCGAGATAAACTGATCAGGTCAGAATAATGATTGTATACATAAACTTTCTAAATATGATCATGACGAACAGAATCGAAACTAAAACACTACTGTTACTTATATAAAAACATGTGTCTCAAACTTTATATTAACATCTCTACTGCTAAGCTCGAAAATTTCAGTCTATTAATTAGTATACGATTTCACTCTGAGAAAACTAACAGTTATTGATCGATATATAAGAAATTGTGTTTCTTAAGATGACTTCAGCAATGTTTACATCTTCTGCGAACAATAATCATAGACTCATAAGAGAAGTTCGTAAAAAATATTGTAATCTCAAAACTAAATATTAACTTCTGTTACGTATGTAAAATCTGTAATAAAAATTTTACTTGATTCTTATACTAAATTTCAAATAAAATTTAACATACTGGTGAAAGCCATCGATAAGCTGCATGTGGCCAAAGTGTAAATGTTCTATATCGTGTTGCTTCACTAAACATTAAACGTTCACGTGTAGTTCGTCCACCTGTATTCAAAAAGCTACTCGCCGATGATGTTGGTGTGGTTGTTGTTGTTGTTGTTATTGTTGTTGTCGATGATGATGTTGATGATGATGGTGATGATGATGTTTCTAATGTTGAACCAATTTGTTCATCTGTATTTGTTGTTAATGATTTTTTATGATGATAATATCTTGTTAAATAATCAAGTAAAAGACCAACAACAACAATACCAGGTAATGATGAATGTGTATTTTGATTTTGTTGTATTTGTTGTTTATGTAAACGTAATATATCAAAACATATTTTAATTGCATTAAGACAATCATATGAAAATTGTATTAAATTCCATAATGATGATGATATATGTTCATGAAATTTTGTTTTTAATAAATTATTAAATTCTTCAATATGATTGGATGTTGATAAATCTAATGTTGATAATAATTGTAATAATAATTGTGCATCACCATATGTTAATTCAATGAAAACATGACAATTTTCATCATTTATTGATCCAATTATTGAATCAAGAAAATAAAGACCTTGATACAATTGTCTTACATAAATATGTGTTGATGTTAATAAAATAAATTTATCATGACATGATATTATTTCATAATATTCATTTGTATTATTTAATGGTAATGTATGATGATATAATATTGATAATTGATCAGCACTACGAACATTAATTTCTTGTTTACCATTAAGATAAATTAATGAATTTAATGAAGGATTATAAACTATTGAACGTATATGTTTATCAACAATTGTTGTTAATGATAAATTTTCATCTGTTTTAGAATTTGTCGCCATAGAATACAATAGATAAAAAAGATAGTTTAAATTAAACTAACCATAAATCTAGAAAGAAATAGAAAGAAATTTATACTAGAGATTTCTAGAGAAGAAACAAAATTATTTCTTCATTGTGTAATGATGAATCATTAGATTGAAAATTATTATCCAATTATATATGATTGATTGTAAATATCTTACTAGATAAATAAATGAAAAAATTTTTTCTTATTGGTACTTAAGAATTTTTTTTATTTGAATAAATTTTACGTAGTTTATTGGAATAAGGCGTTGGTAATGGACGACATCTAGCAATAGTATTTCATGTGATGATTGTTACAAGGAGCAAAGTTGTGACATTGTATATTAACTGGTGACCCTGAATCAATGTCACTCTCAGCATTTCAATACCTAGACATAATCAAAAGTTCTGACAACGTTGCTGACAGTTTTATAAATCAGTCAACATTTAAGATTTTGTTGTATGAATAAATAGTAGAATGTTTTGTCTATAATAATATATATATAATAAATTTATTTTGAGTTTAGTTCTGATATTCTTTTAGATAAAATCCAATTTGAATACAAAAAAAA